ATATATTTTTGGCTCCTCCACCGACTCACGCAATCCCGGTGCAATTAAAAATTTTCACCTCTTCGGCCGATTTCGGTTTTCCAGGCCGTCGGGCGAATCCGCAAATGCGGTAGTTTTCGTTTATGTTTTATGGCCCCGAATGATATGCAAATGGTCCGCAGGTGGGTGTCGCGCCGAGCGTAATGTGGTGTGTGAATAATTGGGCGTGAGGCACACCTCGATTCATTTCTCTTCTACCGCCGCATGCCTTTTTTATTTGTCGTCCGCAGGGCGTTTTTTGCGTGTAATTACCGCCCAATCGGTCCGACCTGGTCACATAATAAAATATCAGCACGACTTTTGCAAATGAGGATATTTTAGTTTTAGGTTATTTATTCAATGATAATTTTAGTTTTGAGCCATATCAATTAATTTATAAATAATTTTATTTTAAAAACATACAAGCTGCACCTCAAATCATGACAGAGTAACTCCCTTAATGACAAAATAAATTGAATTCAATGACACACCAAAAGGCAATCTCTGCCCAATTAAATCATTTTGATATTCATTAACAAAAAATTTATTATTATATTTACAAAATAATAAGGGAAAAATTATCAATTAAAAGAAAACGTTTTTTCACACTTAACGATAATCAATAATAATATATAATTATGAGTTTTAAAATATAAGGCATTAAGATTGCAATTTGAACTTGAACTATAATTTGTAATCCGCAATTATGATGTTATTCGCACTAATTTAAAAAATTTAAGCAATTTGATGAGGTAAAAGAAAAAGAGTGGAAAAATTAGTCATTCTCTCAAAAGATAAAATACATAAGCCAAAAATAAAAATTTTCTCGTTCTCAATCATTATCTCACAACATCCTAAGTACTCTTGTAACGCTGCTTGTAATGATGTTTAAAATTGCCGAGGGATTACTTTTTTGCTCTTTGCATTGTACAAACACCGAGCAAAAAGATAAACCTGCTGCTCAGTCTTTTTTCCGCGCCGTGTGGTTATTTGCACCAGCGCGGACTTCTTTGACTTTCCTTATCACGAGAAAGAATAAGAAGCACCGTTGTTCGTCGTGTTCGCAGTGTTTAAAGTGCAAGGCCGCTAGCGAAAAGTGCCAGACTTGTCGAAAAAATTTTCTTTTGTGTGTTCTGATTAGATCAATCAATCAATCTGGTCTTTCTATTCAACGCGGGATCGTGATTTGCAGAAAAATTGCGTCTAATGCTTGGAATTTTCCGGCAGTAATTATTCCTGTGAATTGCCATGAAAAGAGCGCCTTTTCGTCACAACGAAGCGAGAAATTAAATTGAAATCAGCTCCTTTAATGATCTGCACCGGCGTAATTATCCCGCCGCCGACTTTTCTATTCATCAGCCGCATGATTCGCTTTTAATAATCGGCCTTTGTCATTGTGTGTTTTGCATTCGAATCCCGGCGTCAACAATGGGAGTGCGGCCGGCGGAGGGTCCCACAAGACCTGATCGCAGGTGTGTGAGCCTGTTCGCCTTTTTCCCGATGCTGATATTAAAAAAGTCACGTGTGTGTTCAACCACGTAGTTCGGTGTCTCGCGTGAGGTGGCACCATGCGGCAAGGGCCCGCTGGAAAAAAAATTCATAAAAAAATATTAAAAGTCAGAAAAATGTCCTGGTTAGCCTAGCCTGTAAGTTAAAATTAATTTAATTTTTTTTTAAACAATTTTAATTATAAACTTTTCTTTTTTAATATAATTATTTTTATAACTATGATTTTTAAATTTTCCAAATCAATATTAAATATTTAATATTTATTTAAAATACAATTTAACTAAATGTAATCTTAAACAAATTAATCGTTTCAGATCGTAAAAATTTTGTTTATCTAGTTATAAAAATATTTAATAATAATTGTTCCATCTTACTCAAAATGCTGAGGTATCTATGTGAAACCATTATTGAATTGAGAGATCAATTGCTCAAAATATTGAAGTTATACAAATTTAATTTAAAGTTATCACAAATCGGCTTACATGATAAATTAAAAATTAAAATACATTTTTTAAGAAGATAAATTCGGTCTTCATATTTCATTTCATTTTTTTTTAAATTGTGGGTTCATTAAAACTACCATGCAATTAAATGGTTAGATTTTATGAATAGATACTATATTTTTGAGCTTCAAATTCTTCCACCTGCAGTGTTTTGATTCACTTTACTGCCCACATTCTAAGAAGTACAATTTGATATCATCGCATGATGTATTCTCTTTCTTAGAGATACTGTTTTATTGAACGGAATGTATTGTGCAAATAGAATTACTTTATTATTTGCTTCAGATTAAACGGCAGCGTTCCTTTTGAAGCGCTACTTGGCTGCCGCAATAAACCGCAAATTGTAGGCCCAAGAGGCATTAAATGTTATTATGCGAACTCGGCCCACCGTACAACTCTAATTTGGTTATAAATGAACGTCAACGACTAATGATAATTTCATTATTGACGTTTGAAATCACCTTTTAAAGAGAGGAATCAGAAGTTTATATGAATATAAATCAAATTTTCTCATTAATGCATCATCTGAATTAACTGAAATAAGAATTACAAATTTCTAACTTGGGCAATTTTATTTCTTTCTAACAATAAGTAAAAATAATTAAGATTTGACTCTCTCAAGTAAAACTTTCTAAAAAAAAAAATTTAAATTCAACTTCATTTTTGCGGTTAAGGAGCTCTTGTTACTCGAGGAACATAAATCTAAGCAAATTGGCATGACCACACTTTTAATGCTATACCAACAAGACACCGCTAAATAGGCTACGCTCGTAAATTAAAATTCTGCGAAGTGCCGCGGGAGCAGAAATTCTGCAAACACATAAATCTCGACGGGACAATGGCATCAGATAAAAGCGCCTTGTAACGCCAACAAACGTACTATTTATCTGCATATCGAATTTCAGTTTCCAAACGCACGCAAGGTTTTAGAAAGCGATTAACGAAAAAACGATGGACATGCGTTTTTCCTTGGAAATTAGGCGCGTTTGAACGACGCTCATGAATACTTATAAATTGCAAAAAAGAAGTAACGCGCAAAAGAGATGACCAACGCAAGGCCAGGCGGTGACTTCTGAAATTGATTGCTGCCCTCGAGTGAGAATTATGTCTTGTGCATGAATTGAATGGAAAATGATTTTTCAATGCAAATTTAAATTGGCCTGTGGGTGGTTTTATTGCGGGCACAGGATATTGAAGAGACGGCGATTCAAAATTGGAGTTACTTATCTCTTGAAGGAGATTTAGGTGGCGCCATATGGATTGCAAATGAGAGATGATGAAGGTAAAAGAAAAATTATCTCTAAAAATTTCATTTTCAAAAGCTATTTACTGGCAAGGATGTGAATCAGTTTTAAAAAGTTTAAATTTGTCAATATCTTTATTTAAATTATTTACGATCCATTTTAAAAGAAACTTAATATTTTGATAAATGAAAATTTTATTTTATGTTCAAATTCAATCTGGTGGTTTGTTTCTGATCTGATATATTGTCTTATTTTAGATTTGTTGCTCATAAAAATTACCCAATAAACCTTGATCTCCACCTTTTCCGCGCCAGCATAATTCGACGCAGTAAAGAATAATTGGAAAATAAAATCTCGGTTCTTCTAAAGAAATAATTCGCAAAAAGCCTCTCGGCCGAAAGGCGCGGCCAGCGAATCAGTTTCGCCGTGCTGAGGTCGTTAAGTGTTTTTAAGGGTCACCTTGCAACAGTTTGCATTCAATTTGCATGATAACGCGCGCACATAAAACGGCGGACGAATGACGCAATGCAAATTGTTACACTTGTTATTTTGAAGGCGCTCAGATTGGAAAAGAGCGGACGTGAATAAAAGAGCGAGATGATCTTTTATTTTTATATTGTTCCACTGCGGCCCGTCGAGACCACCTTCATGATATCGCGAAGGGCAGCCCCTGAGGGCGACATAAACGGGCCAGCTTCATGCCAAAGTGTCCGGCATTAAATTTAGAAGAGAAAAATCGAGCAGGATATTTTGTACGAGGAATATATAAAATTTAAAAAAATATAATTTAAGAAATTCATTTGCAACAAAAATATAAAATTTTAAATTAAATTTATTTTTATTGTCTTTAATGACGTTAGTATAAAGAAGTAAATTTTTCTCATTCAAGATCAGATTCGTGTGTTTAAGCAAATTTTGAACATTTTCATGCAGTGGATCAGAAATTTCAAATTGCTATTTTTTACCATTAACAATAATTATGGCATGGCATCCCTTAAAATTGAAGATTGTAAACATTTCTTTTGATTTTTCTCTTTGGTCACCAATTGTATAAAATTGTCACCAAATTATGAGGTTGGTTCTCTACTTCTGGGTAGGCAACACCGCACACACGTTCGTCTTGCAAGTTGCAGCGTCTGATGCTATCGTCTTGAATTAGATTTTTGCATTCCTCTGCACTACTAACTCTTTTTTCTGGCTCTGTATAATTTTAACACAATAATTTTTTTACATTAAAATAATTATGTTTATTAATAAAATTTATATCTTGCTAAATGAGATTATGAGAATTATCTAACTTGATATCTACACTTATTCAAATCAGCAAATATGTAACTTTTTATAGAGTTATCTTGACCACTTTTTCTAAACAAACTAAACAAAAAAAACTATTTCAAATAAAAATAAATTTTAAAACTTGAATAATAAAGTAATATAATAAGTAAATTTGATTAAAAACTTCAGAAGAAAAGCGTTGCAAACGATTAATGTTTCCTCAAATGTGATTAGTTATAAATTTAAACATTTATTCTTTTTCCGTCATTTATTTCGTTGTCTTTGTGGTTGAAGTCTTATTATCTTATTAATTTGTTAGGCTTTATTCTTGTGTGATTGGGTTTTGCTGTGCTCGTCCGCTAGATGGCGGACACGTGCGCATCCACCTGTCGATCTCGCGAGTCGCGGCCGCGCACCTGCCGCCGGACGCCAAACTAAGCAGCGCCGCAGACACAACAAAGACGGAGCACGGTTCGGACGGACGCAAGGAGGACCAGTGGTCCGACCCGAAGCAACGTGTCTTGGAGTGCAAACAATTCAGTTGGCCCTGCACCGAGAGTCTCGCAGGAGAAGCAGAAAGAAAGAGGTTCGGAGAAGTGGCTCGAGTGCAGCAGCGAGCGCCGAGCTCGGTCTCGAGAGCTCAGTCTTGGAGCGGCCGCCGAACGCGACTGACTGTCCGTGCGCGTCTGCAAACAAGCGCGAAAAGATCATTTCGGAAAAAAGGCTGGAAACCGGAATTCCCACGCTGCGGAGTGAGAGTGGTGGAGCGAAAAAGTCCCCCCTTCGGAAGAGCGAGCGGCCCACACCGCGGCGTGACGTCGCGGTCAGCATGGAGGCCTTTTATGGTCGCACCACCAGGTCGTCGTGGGCTCCGCCGGGCACACCCCTGCTGTAGGTGTCCCCCCACGTGACCTGTGATTGTTATGCGGTGCTAAACGCAGCTGACGCAGTGGGGACGAACAACAAGAGCAGCGCCGGTTTGTGCTCCAGTCGCAAGAACAACGCCGGACCCTGCGTGGTCATGAACCCTGTGCTCGTTTTTGACTTCTAGTTTTGACACTTCTTGTTGGTAAAAAAAAGAGAGAATTAGTTTTTGTGCGATATGTCGACGCAGTCGTACTACAAGGAGCGCCTCGGCTTCGACCCCCAGGAGGAGGCCAACCACTTTGACAAAAACCAACAGGGCTACGAGGAGAATTTGTCCAAGTTCAAAGGTTTGTGGGAGATTTTCGTTTCCACTCTAGGTGAGGGGCTCTTTTCTCTTTCTTTCTATCCGTCCTTTTTGCGTGTGGTGTCCACTGACGGCATGGTTTGGCGTCACTCCTAACGCACAGGTAACTTACCTGTTAAATATTTAACTTATAGTTAAATTAAAACAATCTTAAACTTCATCAAATTTAACCATTTATATTTATATTTTATAAATTTTTTTATTAATTGAAATGTTTATAGAAATTTTTGTCAGTATTTAAAATTTAAATTTATACAATTATCATTTTTTTACTTTTCTATATATTTGTACATAATTCGCCACATTTTTCATATAACTGCACATGGCTCTGCTATTATAAGCAATTCTAAAAGAAATATGACATATTTATGTCCTCCATTCCTATTAACTGACATTCCTTTATCGTTTATCGTAGCTCTTGATTCGATATTATTTTAATGGTTTTTCATAATATAAGTGAAATTGATTAATTGTGCTTTAATGAGAATAGTTTAAATAATATATAGTTTCTGGAATATAATGAAACATCAATGGAATAATTTAAGTATGACGTGAATTACGAAAATTCTTGCAATTAAATGTATGTTATGCCAGATAATCTCTCTCCATCAGTTAATAAGGTTCTCCTGAATATTTCCGTAAATAAATTAAACACAAACAATTTTCCTCAGGTAATATATTAGGATAACACTTACTAAATTAAATTATTTCTTCTATTAGAAACAATTGGCTTTGCGTTCATGTTTTGCGTGTAAGCTGCGAGTGACGACCAACGCGACTTAATTTTTCGCCGCGCGATAAGCGAGATAAAGAGAGACGAACAAGTCTCATGACTGAGTAGGTTATGCTGATAAACAACCACAACAACTCGGCGCGCAAGTTTCTCTCTTTCGTTCTCTTCTGCGATGCCAAGAGTGGGCTGGAAATTTTTCAATTGCCTAAACGCATTCTCGGCCTTGCCTCGCTGCACTCGAGGAATTTTTTTCGCGATTCCAGTTATGCAAGGTCGGCCTGATTGCTGGTCAAAACACTTCTAGTTTGCATTTTTCTCAAAGATAATTACAATTAGATCGAGGAGTGATTAAATTCCACATGTGCGCGCTGCTCCAGAGGCTTCCTACTTTTCCACTCTTGATTGGCTTATCTTATCGACTTACACGGGCACGCAGGTGAAATAAAATTTAAAAAAAAAAACACGATAATGAAAACGTTCGCTTCCCACTCGAGACTCATTTGCTACATGTCACTTCAGATGAGCAAAGACAATTCAATAATAATCTCAAAGTGGCGAGTCACGACCCAAGTATGCCCACATTTTTTTAGGAGTGAAAATTTTCCGTATGGATTGTTTTTTTTTCTAAAGCGTTTCAAACTCATTTTTGATATTTTTGTCATGGACTGATTAACGCAAGGGCAGATTATCTCATTGTTCTCTGCGGACAGATAAGCACCGGGTTTCATCTGAATCCCAATTTTGGTGCTCCTTCTGTTTCTGTGGCTTCGGAGGCGCCACACCTTCGTGAAATGGCTCGTTACGTCACTTGTTATGTGGGAATGAATCACACCCCCCGCCTGATCAGATCACCTTTTCGATGAAACACCGTAGCCAGATATTTTAAACTTATTGTTGGTGTTAAATTAAAGGTTAATTTTAAATAATATTTGTCCATTTTTTTTTATTTTAAAGATCATTTTATTATATTTATAAATTTTTTTTTATATTTTTATATTTATTTACAATTATTATATGTGCTTCTTCACTTCTTGTTGATTTAGTTTTTTTTTAGCAAGCTCTCCTTTTCAGACACAAAATTTTAATTTAATTATAAATATTGAATGCATTTCACAACAATTCTGATAATATGTTGAGAATCATATGTTTTACTTCTGTATATTTTGTCTACTTGTTTATGTAATGTAATGGTAGATTTAATTACTAAAGGCGTTTAGGAATTTTTACAATGATTGAAAATTGAAAATGCATTTTATAAAATCATTCAGTTCAGATTGTTTTATGCCAAGCAAATACGGCAAATACCATAAAACTTGATTCGTTTGCACATTTGGGTTTAATAATAGTACATTCTGTATAATGAATTGTAATAAAACAGAAACACCATGTCAAATGAATCGACCGCAATCCTTTTCTCACGAAATTCCGCCAATTCACGATTCACCAAAAAGTGACGTGGAACTTTTTCTGGTGCTGCGACGCCGGTGTTTAACCGGCACAAGGGCGCCTCAAAATCGGAGCACCGCACGCTTACTTCACTTTTTTTCCACTTTTTGATAAGGCGAAGCTCGGCGCGGTTTCCTTTTTTGCTTTCGGTGAGAATTTTCTCTTGGAATGCCGTTGCTGTGTTTGAGCATTCTTTTGGCACCGAGAAACAGACGCGCCGATTCAAAGAGAGAATAATATATTTTTGTTTTTCTCCAAATGTTTAAAACTATAAAAGCTTACTTTTGCAGCATCCGCCGCCGATTTAACAAGGCTGCGCTGTTTTCGGGATAATTAAAGACGCACAAACAAATGACTGTTTGAGTCAAAACGAATAATACAACCACTTGTGGGAGTTTGTTCACAGATAACGCGCTTTTATGGTGGTATTAAGTGCATATGTAAACTCGAAAGGGAGCTGCGGGCTATTGATTCTCTGAATTTATTCATGACCCTTGAATCTGAAAAGCTCGGACGGAAAATTTACGCCAAATCTTGTTGTTTATTACAACTTTCGACTTTTAATTTTTTGTATTAAATCCAAACGGATTCGCCTCCTGTTGTGAATTTTCAGTTTCTTTCAACCTTTGAAGTTCATAATTTCAATGATTTATGAGGCGTCATATTTTTCTCACCAGGAGTCAGCGCACGCTAGTTTTTTTGCAAGCACTTCTTTGCTCTCAGACGAATATTTAAGCGAGAAATTAATGTGGCTCTTGACACGGCCTGCAGAGTCAGCTGGCAAATGTTCAGACGAGAAACAATGCCCCACGCATTATGCATGCGAGCGTCATTATCGCCGCGAGTATGATAGGGCACGACTGCAAATACACTCCGCTGATAAAGCATGCTGGTTTCTTTCTGCTCCAGTTTCACTTTGCAAGAAAACAAAGTGTTTATATGACAACTGGAAGCAGCCGAAACATTATCTGCCCGCGTTCAAATATATAATTTAAATTTCGCAATCAAAAGTTATTTTCTTGTCAAAATTTCGGCCTGTGGATGGGCCACCTACGGGCTCTCGCCGCCCATGGAAGAGTTGCACCTCGCCATCCTACCTCCGCCTCTTTTTATTGCTTCGAGGACCATTTTTGTCCCTCGGAAGAAACGCGATGAGCGAGGAAAATCGTCTTATTTATTTATTTTGCGAGTGCAAAGGTGTCGCTTTACGGCCATTGTCATCACCGTTTTTGTAAAAATGGGCAGTTCAAACCATAATTTTAAAACAAACAATGAATTTTCTTGAAATTTGAGGAAAAACCTTTTTATAAAATTCTTCCGATAATTTTACTTTTTATAAAAGTAAGTATTGTGTTGATTGTAAGCAAGAGATGTTCTTATTTTTACAACACCTGTTGCACCAAATGAATGGATCAGTGGAGATAGAAGTGGTGAAAGGACATTTTTTACACTTAGAAAAATATTATCACCTGGAATTTAACGCAAAAATTTTATGCAATCTAATTATTATTATTTTATTCTTGTCGGTCAATAGAAAAAAATTTTATTGGAAAAAAAAGAGAATAAAAGGTTTAATTTTATATTTACAAAAATTATTAAATTAAAAAAATTCCTGCTTTTAATTTGAGAAGAACGTCGGTGTAAAAAATGAATCCAATTTGTAACGCTGAACATCAAATGTGAATTCCTTTCCCTTCAAACCAGACGACAATTTTTCATTATCAAATTGACTGCTCAGTGCGCTCCAATTGAAACTTCAATTAATTTAAGACCTGACACACACTCAAGGGGTCCGAACTCGCAATCAGCTTTGAAAAGTAATGGCCATAATTACACCAAAGGACCGAAGCCATTTGTTTTCACACGGCCTGCTTGTTTTTGAACAGCGACCACGTCCATCATCATAAAATAATTTTTATCTGCCGCGCATTGTCTCTCTGTCGCTGTTTAATTTCAGTAATGAAGTGGCCCTGACGACTGACCATAAATCGGCCGTTTAAGGAGCATCGCCAGTTTGGCGTCAGCAGTACGGAGGCTGAATTTGAGATTTTCATTTTTTATTCTAATTGCACCCGTGTGTACTTCTTACGAAACTGGCGGTCACGAGGTGGGCAGAACGACCAATGCTAATTGAATATTTTGCTAATGGACTTGCGGTTTATCGGTGAGAAATCACTCGCTGAATGAAACCAGACGGTGCTGAGGGGGGCCGGATTTAATTAAAACGAACGATGCAGAATTTTAACCACCACTTTTCGGCAGGCGTTAATTTTTATGGGAATAATTTCAGCATCCTGTGTACGTTGAGGAGGCAGTAAAAATTTATTACAACAAACTAATGTACCATTTGAGGCGAGTCAATAATTTCATAAATTGAAAGGGAAATCCTCAGTAAGAATTGGTGTGAACGTCTTGCAAAGTATTGGCGAATTTGAATCTAATTAGAAAAAACTACTTAAGATCATAATTTTTTTTATAATAATTAAAAAAATTAAAATAATCCCTATCTTTTGAATCAGCACCAACCAATTAACTAGGCCATTATACCTTTAGCAAAGCAAATAAATTCACTTAGCACATTTTTTTCTGCTTTCTCCATTTATAAAATTAAGCACATTCTTCCCGAGACAACAATGCAACTAACAACTTTGCCTGCATCAATTTCGTCTCCCACAGAGGAGAATAAAACCCGAAACCTGCAGCACGCAAATCCTGGTTAATTTTTTATTTTTAAGTAATTTATTTAGCAAAACGAGTCGCGAGAAACGAAAATAACAAACCTCCGGCGCTTCACTGGGCCATAAATCGATTGTCGTTGAATTGTTAATTAAGTC